AAGAATTGCAAACGAAGGACCGCAATGACATTTGAAATGAATACTTCAATATCTTTGAGGAAAGCACAAAGAAAGACCTTGTTGAGCGACTTGAGTTGATATCAAATGGGTTTACGAAATTGGAGGGAGTTGTGAAAGAAAAGAAGAAGTCGATGAAGAAAGAAGACGAAGAGAAAAATGGTGCGAATGAGTGGGAAGTGTTGTACAAACAATGGGAAACGATTTTACCACAGACCATCGAATTGTTCAATCAAATGATCGACTTACAGAAAAGTGTTGTCGACTATGAAAAGAGTTCAATTGAAGTCACACGAATTTCTCACGAGCAACTTGCAAGTGCGGAAGAATTACTTAAAGTGTATGAGTGGAGTCTTGGCGTTGAAGAAATACGATCGTATGAGACGGGAGGAGATGTGAATAAAATTATCGAGAGAGCAGAGGAGTTGACAAAGCAAATTCCAGTGATTGAAAAGTCAATGCAATACGTTGGAGAGAAGTACATCAAAGACAAAGAGAGTCACAGATCGACGCGGTTTGTCATTACACCACGCAAGAGAGGGAGGTTAGAGTTAATGTATGGCAAAGAGATGCAAGAAGAGAGTTACACTGAAAAGCCATTTGTCGAGGTATTCAAGAAAGTGCAGAACATCAACAACTGGAAACAAACCCTTTCGAAGAATTACTCAAGGCTTCAGACTCTTCAAAAAGAGGAAAGAACACGTAACGAGGCGAGGGTTGAATTTTCAAAGTATATTAAAGTCATAGTCAAAGCGATTCAGAAAGGACAAATTACAAAAGATTTGTTGGCGGTCTCTGAAAAGGCCAAAGAACTTTCAGTAGGGGATGAGTCTATCAACAAATTGTGTGATCCGAATGATTTGAGATTAATCAAAGAATATAGTTCGAAGGATGAGACGTTTTCTTTGGCAATTGGGTTAAAGCGTGGGGGTGAGAAAGACATTATGATCAAAACATTCAAAGAAAAGTTTCTTGATGAAGTAGGAGAGTTGGAGAAGTATGTTGAAGTGATATTGGCGGACCTCAAAAGTATAGACGCCATGTTGAAAGACCAAAGTGCTGATTTGATCAATGAGAAGTATTTGTCATTCGCGGAGAAATACAGTGAGAGCTTTGAGTTACATGTTACATGGTATCAAAAGTTGATAGAAAACCAAAACCGACATGGCAACTTTGTGGAGGCTGGTGTGGCGTGTACACATATCATTATCATGGTATACACCATTTTGAGACGAACGAATGTGATCAAAGTAGATTTGGATATGAACTATTTGTACGACATCATCTCAGTTGAATCCGAGCAGATAAAGGTGGAGAAAAAGCAACCAACGTACTTGAATAACTCTATGTTTATTAACAAGGAGTTCTTATTTAATGTGGTGTTTGCGGCTGCTGATGCGTTCAGAAAACAAAATCTGCAACAATACGCAATTTCTTTGAACAACTTTGTTATACCATATTGTTCCTCTATTGGTGATTTTAAAACACTTTCAAGATGTCATGGATCTGTGATGCAGTTGTATCAAGATATTAAAAATGTGAATACGTACGTCGGATTTTTCTATCGAGTCACTTTCTATGGAAATGCGTTCGAAGCACTATTTATCACTTTTGACGATGACAAGAACAACACTTCCTCACGTACAAATAACAACATGAATCCTCAAAACAACAACAAAATTGGTGTTTTCAAGCGAGAGTACATTTACAGAAGTTCTTTGAGGTCGGGGGACTTTCTCGAGTTTCTCAAAAACGCGTATAAGACTGTTCCAAATCTGACAATGACTACAAAGAACACGTTTGAAATTCCAGGAGCAACAAACGACGGAAACGAAAACTTCATTTGTGTTGCTTCGGTTAGTGCGTGCAGCCCCGACAAAAAAATTGTCGATAAGTTTTTGTCAACAAACATTTTTGCGAGTGAAATATCGTATAATCCGACTGGTGGAAAGATGGACGAACTTTCTAAAGTGTGTAAAAAGCGCACAGTGATCATTACGAAGAAGAGTCTACCATCAGTCTTAGAAAGAGAACCTGTTGTCTCAACCGAGGAAGTGACTCTTACTCCAATTCAATCTAACACGGACGACATTGAAAAACAGATCGAAAAGGTTGCTTCGTTGATTGAAAGTACAAGCACTAACACTGGGAAGATCTCACAACTTCAAAGACAGTTGATGGGTATTTTGTGTGCGAATGTTAATGGTGGTGTATTGGCTGTGTGTAACACCTTTTTTACAAAAGAAAATATCAAAAACTTCGGACAAAACGACGTGAAGAATTTGTATGATTCGATTCTCCGTGTTGTTGATTTGTGTAAGACTGGACTCCGACTCCACAAGTCCTTCATGAAAATCGAATTTTCTCGACTGCAAAATGTGATGGAGCTTGGGCTTGTTAATATTGAAAGAACACTGAGGGAGTGTGGTGTGATCATTGACGCATACATGCAAGGCGAAACAGAACCAAATCAAGAGGAACCCGAGCAACCTGAACAACAAGAACATCCTGTCAATTAAATTTCTTTTATTGTTGAAATTTTCATTAGTTTGATGGTGAACATTAACACTTTCACAACCCAAACTTTTTTTTTAGAAGAAAAATAAGTAAAAAAGAAATTGTCCAAATCATTTTTTTTATTATTTTTATTCCAAAACCCCTTTCTAACCCAAACCGGCCAATAGTCAGTTTTATTTTACTTAAAATAACTAACAAATGAGAACTCAATTACCTAAGATTGGTCAAAAATAATCTTTTTGGATGAAATTTCATATCGCTTTATCGTGTTTCAAAAAATTTGTTTTGTGTATGAAGGCAAAAAAAGGGTTTAGGTAAAAGAAAAAAAAAACTTATTATTATTACGTTTCTGTTTTGAACGTGTTAACTCGAAAAATAAGTCACTTATTATCAGAGTTAGAAAATGAGCTTATTTGTGTCTCCAATATTTCTGAACTCTTGAGAATCAACTGCTTAACAACACCACCAAGCAACTTCTTCACTTTAACTTGGTTCAACGTCAGTTTACCACAAACCCCTATGTCTAACACCCGCACCACTCGCTCATACCCAACTACTTTGAGATCACCACATCTCGAAATTTTGATTTCAAGGTTTTCTGATAGAATGCTCACTTCCAAGTTGCCGTAGATGGGCGGAACTATTTGATTTTCCGTGAACTTGATTTTCGCACTTTTAACAGAGTCTTTGTCACAATGGAACAAACAGTCGCCATAATTCTCAACTTCATTTTTCTCTTGTTCATATAAATTGCCTAATTTACCATAGAGCGAAGACAAGGAACTTTGGTCAATGTATAAACAAGCACCTTCGTCGACCATAATCATCGAATCGTCCACTGCGGCCATTTTTACTAAAACATCATTCCCACAACAAAATGAGTCTTCTCCAAAATTGATTTGACTACTTCCGTGACAATCAAAACACGTCAATTCACAATTTAATATTTCAAATGCTGTCGAATTGTCGATGCGGAGATCACCGTCATGCTGTCCAAGTATTTTCACCTTGGAGCACTTCACAAAGTCGACGCGACTTGGTTGTCTACCTTTGAAAATGAGTGCGACAGTGTTGCACTGATACGCACTGAAAATGAA